TTGGAAGGCAGCCACTTATCAGCCAGGGCAAGAGATATCCATCCATTTCCACAGCCCAACTCAGCAATAGTTCTGTCCTTGAAAATGGAGTCTGGATGCCTATTAAGTCCTTCAAAAAAAGTAAAGGACCAATCTTCCGGGACAAAAATGCTAGGGATAACCATCGATGTCAATTTCTTTCTTCCATGGTATCCTGTATACATCCAAAGCGAAACATCAGAGGATTACTGCCCGGGTATGGTTTGTTTTCTCTTCACATTCTTTTTTTTATTTTTTATTTTTCACATTTATCATTGTCAAGCCCAATTGATATTGTGTCCCTTCCACACGATTCAATTTTTACATTCCAATTTTAAACGTAAGTAGCATAACCTTTCTTCATTTTTCTTTTTCATGAATTAGGAGCAGTTCAATGTCGGTAAACTGAAAGAAACTAAAGGAAATAAGAAAAGGACCCAAAAAAAAATATTGTGGCGTATGTTGACATCTATACAGAGAAGATATAAAAAAACAGAACTTGTATTTGAGTATTTCTCGTACTGAAGGGAAGGAAAAAATGGACAATTCAAAGGAGACGCTGCTTTATCGGCTTTGCAAACAAACACAAGCAGAAAGCGCGAAAGTCACAAAAACATCTCTAACAATATAATTCATTACTGCAGTTTCCGCTGCCTAAACAGAATAGACAGCAACAAGACTTTAGTCTACTTCAACCTTAAAACAAAAGTTGCCTCTTTCGTCAGGAAATGAAAACATATAATCTAAAAAAGTTTCCCTCCATTGTTAGTTTCCCTTTTTCTTTTGGTCCGAAACAGCAAGTTCCGTTCTTTCTTTTTTTTTAATGATTAAATCTACGGTGCGTGAAAGCATATGAGTGAAAAATCCAATTCACGTGTTGAAAATAAAAGGCAAATGGCGACCCTCTGTTCACATAACGAGAAAGGGCAGCAGAGGGTAAAGAAGAAAATAAAGCGATTACGAAAGTTGCTTTTCAGTTTTTAATGCGTCTGAAACATAATTCCCCAAGTCATTTTCATGTATTATTTTGCTACTCTGTTTCACCTTTTCCAGGGAAGGATCCACAGAAAACGCCACGTAGCAGAACTTTTATGGAACAATGATTGGTTGCTTAGAAAATACCAGAAAATCGTCAATTCCACAAATCAGATCCAAAAAGGGAAATAAAGATAAGAGCCAGTGCACTCAAATCAGCCTTCTCACGAGCTCTTTATCTTTCTTTCTTTCGAAGTTAGCGTGGCCAAACTTTCTATTATTACACACTCATATTATTAACTCCCTTCCCAATAGGTAAAACTAAGAACACACAGAATCAGACGACGGTTATACGGACTTAAATATGATATAACGAGACGAGAACAGGAGGCAATGTCAATCCATACCTTCGTGTTGGTCCAAGATAATGTCTTCGATCAGAAAATGGTAATTCTGAAAGCATTGATCGCGCTCCTCCTTGGTGCCAAAACGCTTCTGCACGTCTGAAAGGAAGATCCGAGCTCGGACTCGGGAATTAGGATCCTCCAGACGCTCCAAAACCGACCGGAGAGCACCATATGCGGCGTCACCGGAATGCTCACACTGCTTCAGGAACTCGTCAACCGAACCACACACATCCTTCTCCCCCATTCCCTTCTTTGCTTTGCTTTTTCTCTCTCACTCTCTAAATTCAAGAGCTCTAATTCTTTACGGAGAAGAGATTGCAGAGACCTGAGCTAAAGAGAAACTCGGATCATGTCTTCGGTCTGAATCGAATGTGCGTATATGTAATATTTAGCAGAACGTGACTATTATGTTAAACAATAATAACAAGTTTACCGAGTCAACCAAGCAAATCATTAAAAATTACGTACTAATTAATTTAATTTATATCTGCTGCTGCAGCTATATATATATATTTATATATATATGAGTCTGGACAAATATATGCAACCATGTGACATCCTTAAATACTTGTAAATTTATACTCAATATGCAATCTACTTAAGAAAGTTAAATAAATTATTTAATTGTAATAAATGTGATATATTGCATCCGGTCCTAATTATAAGACCCGGTTGACTAATTTGGAGAGATTAAGAAACTTAGTTATGTTAGTTATTTGTAATAAATAGGTGTTGTTTTTCCTAAAATATCCTTACTAATTAAATTTATTATCTAGACTACCATTATTAGAAGGACTATCTTGAAAAAAAGTAGATAAATATGATAGACAAAGTAGATTGGGGTCATATATTTAGAACCAAAAAAAGTCACACAAGTCTTATATTAAAGACCGGAGGTAGTATAATCTTTTTAAAACAAATCAATATAACATTAATTATAATACCTCCGGTCCTTATTTTAAGAACTAATTGTCTAATTTGATGAGATTAAAAAAATAAGTTAAGTTAGTTATTTGTAATAAATAGGTATTGTCTTTCCTAAAATATCCTTGCTAATTAAGTGTATTAGCTAGAACTAGTATTATTAAGAGGACTATATTTAAAAAAAAGTATAAATATGAGAGACAAAATGGATTTAAGTCTTATATTTAAGACCAAAATAAAAATTAAATGAGTTCTTATATTAAGGACCAGAGGTAGTATATCAATTTATAAGTTGTATAAATTAGTTTGAAGATAAATACGATAGATAAAATAAATTATAATCTTATATTTAGCATTAAAATTAACTATTTGCCTAGCACATGGGGTATTAGTATCAATATAAAATTTAGTCAAGTCAACAATAAGAGATGGGGAGCACGAGCCAAATAGGAGAGACGTAGGGCCAAATATTTAATTAATTCATTTTGGAATTGACGGAACAAGTTGGCCAAAAAAAAAATTGACAGAACAAAAAAGTGATTTGTTAATAAAGAAACACACAATGCCTCTAGACCTTAGGGGTGTTCACGGGACGGATCGGGACCGGGACAGGCCCGTCCCGGTTCCATCCCGATGAACAGTAACGGACAGATTTTCTGTCCCGTGTCCCGGTCCGTCCCGTGGTTGTCCCGGTCCCAGTCGGGATGGGACCGGGACGTCCCGAATATTTTTTTTAATTTTTTTTAAAAAATCAGATTTTTTTTAATTATATTTTTTTGAGCTTAAATCTTATAAAAATATCTTTTTTTATTTGTTTGGGTACTCTTAACAAAACTCAAAATATTACATATAATAGTTATTAAAAACTCTAAACAAAAGCTTTTAACACAATAAAAACTTGCTAAAAATTCTAATCATCAATAATCTCAAATCATTAACAAATATAAAAACAAATAAAAAATATATCCATAGTTCCATACAATAGTCTCAAATCTTAAAAAAATAGTAAAAAAATGATATTTATAAAAAATTAAAAAAATTAAAAAAAATTTAAAAAAAAAGGGACCAGGACCGGGATGGGACCACCTCGTCTCGTGTTCCGTCCCGTCCCGGTCCCTTTTTTGTCCCGTCCCGGTTTGTCCCGTCCCGAAAAATTTCGGGACGGATCCGTCCCGTCCCAATAAGACCGGGATCGGAATGGGCCGACCGGGACGGGCCGGCCTTGAACACCCCTACTAGACCTTAACATTATGGTTGATTAGTTATTGTAATAACGGCTCAAAATTTTTTTTTATAATAGGTTAGAAAACTTTTATTCCATGGAAAATAATTGCTATAGGAGTAAATTCTATATATAGAAATATTATATAGGAAGTCGCCATAATAAAACGAAAGCATGCAGAGACTCCTTTTATATAAGCCCACGACGTAGGCTCCATTTGGCGCATGGCAAAATTACGAATTTACGGTGTCATTGTTTTACTGATTTTTAATTTGATAAATAAAATCACTGTTTTTCAAGGTAAAATCAAACAAATTTAATTAAGTGAAAATTTAATACTCCTCCGATCCTGGATATAAGACCCTTATACACACGAGTATAATGACCTTATATTTAGGACTGGAAGAGTAATTCGGTATGTCGAAAACAAGACGGTATAAAATTTGCTCATGGATGATTTTATTTTCACAACATAATTTTCATAGTTCAAAGAAAGGAAAAAATGGGTTATGATATGTACAGAATTCATAAAAAATCAAAAATGGATATACTAAACAATTTTTTAATAATTTTGATTAATCATAATGTCATACCAAACATCACTGAATAAAATATTTTCTCAACATTGTAGGTCTCTATATTGTTATATGGAACTGCTGAGTTAATCACAATTATGAGAGGAAGATGCAATTTGGCATGCTTAAAAATCCCAAAGTGGATCATGTTGACCGCCTTTTAAGCTTTTATTAATATGCATGTGAAGGGTTTGAATACGTTTTATATTTTTTTTTCTTGACCAGCTGAATGCGTTTTATATTTATTTAGGATAGCACATTCATTTTTAATATAAAAATTAGTTAACTAATTTGAATAAATAAAATAAATAATTAAGTTAGTTATTTGTAATAAATATGTAATGTCTTTGTGAAAATATCCTTACCAATCAAGCGTATTGGATAGAATTACCATTACCTTAAGAAAAAAATAGATAAATATAAGAAATAAAATGAATTAGAATTTTATATTTAGAATTAAAATAAAAGTCAAGTAAGTTCGTATATTAGGGACAGGATATAGTATTTTATCTCTTTTGTCATCAAAAAAATATATTTTTTCTTCATTTATGTAAAAACTAATAACTATACTTTTCTATTTTTTCCCACTCATCTTAGTTTAAATATCCATTCTGTGAAAATTTTTATTTCTTTGCCTACCTCTGATTGGAAATTGATCCTTGAAGCGGAACTTTTGAGGGGAAATTATGGAGCAGACAAAATCTGACCGTTGAACGAGTGAATGAACAGGATCAAGCCACGTCAGAGATTGAACGGCCAGCGTCAGTTGGAGGATGAACTGAACTCCCTCCAAAATCCAAATAGATATAGATACTAGTGGCTCCAAGCAGCGGGCGAAGATACGAGTTTTGGAATTAACTCAGTGACGGGTTACGGAATTAACTCAGCTGTGTGGTCGATCTTCTTCTCCAATAAACCCCGGCAATCTTCTCCCTCCTCTAGCAGGATAGCTTCCAATTGACAACGAAGTCCGGCTTTCCGTCGCTATCTCTGATTTTGAGGTATTCAAAGCAAAATCTTCACCTTCGCTGGCTTCTCTCAATTTCACTTCTCATTCTTCATTTGCGTGAGCAGAAAACGAACGGATGTATATATGTAACCAAAGCTTCAAAATATTTCGATTTTCGATTGTTCCATCGTCTCTTTCTCCTTTCTTTCGTTGCTGTTGGCTAGATCGTATGCAATTGTGTTTTCTGATTTTCAATTGCCTGCAATTTAGTTGATTTGTCGATCACTGTTGGCTTTTGGATGAAAGGCCACATTATGATTGATGCCTCTTGGTTGTTATCAGAACTCCTATTGAGCCATGACATCAGATTCAAGATAGTTCTGATCGCGCGCCGAGGCATCCTTGCCTACTTGCCTTGAAGAATCTCAATCTGTGTGGATGAGAGAGAGTGAGGGAAGAAGACAAATCTAACTAAGCCAGATTGTGAACCACAAAATAGAGACGGCCCGACCAAACAAATTGACTACAAAGCAAAGAACGCGGTAGTCATATCTTTCAATTAACGGCTTGGAAACATGAAATAGAAATAGAGGGAAGCATTTGGCAAGTGGGGGGAATCCCTGAGTGAGAGAGCTCGTCCAAAGAGGCAGATATGGCGTCCATTTCGTGCTTCTGTGCTTTGCATAGGCAACCTACCCTACGGTACTTGCTAGCCTCTTCCAACGTCAAAGGTCTGTGTTGGATCTTTCCCTATGTAATTACTGCATTGAAAGATATTTATATTAAAATTTACATATAAATCGCTCCCCTTTTTCTTTTTCGGGGTTTTGCCCGCACTGAATTAATGAGGGATTATACTGGTAAAAAATAGACCTGCAAGAAAATATGCTCAACAATAGCTAAATACATTATTTTTTAACTATAACTCTCCGACCAAATTAAATTGGAGTATTGCTGGGTTAAATTGGATGCCACTCATTGAACGTGATTCTCATGGAAAAATAATCATTTAGCATGCATAAATTACAATGTGTATCCCCGTAAAAATTGTTATAAGTCCGATTCTCAACAAAGATTCCATTGCTCAATTCTTTTTTTTGCTGTTCTTCAGCTTCTTCAGTTGATTACAAAACCATGCAACAACATTCAGCCACCCATGTTTGTCCCGTCAGCATCAGTTCATCCACCGAACAAGCTTGTGGTGCTCCTTCCAGAAGACAACTGATTATTCTCTCTGCCCTCGCTGCGTTTACATTTCCGCCTACTCTTCCGTATGCCATTGCAGGTGATATTTCATTCTTTCTTTCTTTTGCCAACAAATGGCTTTTCTTTTTTCATTTGTTATTTTTATTATTCAATTTCACCTTCAGATTCAGATGTTGATCGTATCTACACCGATGACGTGAACAAGTTCAAGATAGTCATTCCCCAAGGTGATCCAGCTAAATTTTTCTCAAGAAAAAAAAAAAAAGAAAGAAAAAGCTCTTGATCTTTACCTTTCACTTCACCAAATAGCTTGTTTGAGCTGCTTATGTTTCTTCCGCCTCAGATTGGCAAGTCGGAACTGGAGAGCCTAATGGATTTAAATCAGTAACTGCTTTCTATCCACAAGAGGATTCAAGTTCCAATGGTAGTCTTCTTTAATGTGGATCAATGTGTATTTGTTGTATGTAGTTACTAGCACTAGTAGAGTCTAAATCTTTTGTTCAAATTAGTTAGTGTAGTGATCACAGGAGTGGGTCCGGATTTTACTAAGATGGAATCGTTTGGCAAAGTGGATGAATTTGCTGAGACTCTGGTTGGTTTTCTCACTTTCATTTTCAGGATTCACCTTGTCTTTTCAGAGAAATGTTGAGTTTTTATTTTGTTCATCAAATTGCAGGTCAGTGGGCTGGACAGAAGTTGGCAGAGACCTCCCGGTGTGGCTGCTAAGCTCATAGATTGTAAAGCTTCTAAGGGTAATGCAGCATCACCCATGTGCTACTCAGTTCTGCTCAAGTTCAAATCCTCCACAGTAAATAAGCTATTACACAAACATAATGCTGTAACTCTATAAAAATGAGATAATTTTAGAAAAGTGGCAGCCAGTGTAAATGAATGGATTTGAGCTTATGCACTCTCGTTTGTGTTTCTCTCTCTCTCTCTCTCTCTCTCTCATCACTAAAACACCAATCCAACGTTTTTCTAACTTTCTATTCTCAATCTCAGTGCTTGACCTAAACAATGTTTCAGGTTTCTATTACATAAATTATTCCCTTCAAAATCCTGGTGAGGCTCGCAGATATCTTTATTCAGCCATTGGGATGGCATCTAATGGTTGGTATAACAGACTCTACACCGTCACAGGACAGGTATGTCCATCCCCATTTTATGGTTGAGACCACATCGAAAAGAGTTTCTGTTATAACCCAACCAATATGGGGAGCTCAAATTATTAAAGTTATTATGACCACTGTTTATTCATTGCCTTCCTGCTTTCTTGTAGTTTATGGAAGACAACGCCAACAAGTACGGGTCCCAAATTCAAAAGGTGAACGCATATTTACTCTCCCCCCCCCCCAACACACACACACACACACACACACACACACACACACAGAGTAATGTCCGAGCCTAGTGATTTGGATGCCGGATAATTGGTGCAAGTGGCTTTTGGTTTTACGTACTGAAATCCAATCACCACTTGGTTCTTGCAGGCGGTCGCATCATTTCGGTTCGTATGAATTCATGGTTAGGATGGGAGATGCTGTATATGGATTCCATCGACTACCATCCCTGTTATCTTTTTCCCCTCCATCACTTGTTAATTTGATTCTATTTTCAGTTTGTGCGAATGGAGAAATTGAAAACTGTATCAGAAGCCAACATATAACAATAAGAATACTCTACTGCCGTCTGGCCCTTCGGGGCTGTTTAATTGAATCTGAAAAATATTTTTACATAGATTAAAATTCCTCATATATTTATTTCATATTTTATAAAATGATTTTTAAAACTATAATTTGGTTTCAATTCAAATACCTTTTTAATTGCTTTGTATGTTACATTTTTACTAGATTTGGTTCACAAGCGTAAGAAATACCAGCACAATTATTATCCAATGAAATATACTATATATAATCTCAGCAAAAAGGGAATATTCCCTTGCAAAATTATGAAATTGAACTTCATTCAAATCTTGGGAACTTTCTGACTAATGCAAAATGCACTCATTAAACCTGCCTAGTTTTGGTTGGAAAAATGCCAAACTATAAAACACACGTACAGACGCACATGACGCGCGCGCGTGTGGATTGCAGCATGTCGCCAAAGTTTTCAGCATTTCCAAATCTCATCTCAGAAACTTCAAACTATGGGTGTGTTTGGATGAAACCAAACCGTGATTTAGAAAAGTGATTTCGGAAAAAAGATTCTGAAAAGAATAGATTTTATGAAAAAGTGATTTTGAGAAGTGAGAGTGTTTAGATAGTTGTTATTAGAAGCACTTTTTATATATACAAATTACTAAAAAAAAGACAAAAGTTAATATGATAATTACAGAAAAAAATAGATTTTATGATACATTTTAATTTGAAGGAATAAAATTGTTAATAATATATTTTTTATTAACATAATTAATAATACATAAGATAATATAATTAATAAATAATTAATATGTATATATATTTATAAAATATAAGATTAAATATGTTTATAAAAAAAAAACAAGATACATATCCTATAGGCTCTCACACTCTCCCTTTTTTCTCTAAAAGCAAAAAAATTTTGTTTTTTCCAAAATCATGATTTGTGCAAATTGGGTGGGTATTTGGGTGACTTATCACTCAAACCATGGTTTGGGTCCCCAAACCATGGTTTGGAGTGTCATCCAAACGGTGCCTATATCGCGTGCCTGGGATTTTGCATTGGTGCAGGCATAGCAATTGAAGCAGAACAACAAGAAGATAATGACTGAGCCACAAAATCCAAAGGCGGTAACAAAGTACTCCTCCGGTCCTAATTATATGACCCAATTGACTTGTTTGAGGAGATTAAGGAAGTAAGTTAAGTTGGTTATTTATAATAAATAAATGTTGTCATTCCTAAAATATCCTTGCTAATTAAGTATATTGGCTAAAACTATCATTATTAGAAGGATTATCTTGGAAAAAAATGCATAAATATAAGAGACAAAATGGATTGGGTCTTATAATTAGGACCAAATAAAAAGTCAAATTGAGTCTTATAATAAGGACAGGAGGAGTATATATTAATAACAAGTTTACATACAAAGCTGCAAATTCAAGTCAACTAAAGGCTTGTTATTAAACACCATGAGGCAGTCCAGCGTTCGGGAATCCACCTGCAAGAGTCGTATGCTTGTAAGCAATTTGAAGCGGAGAAATTTTGTTTTTGTTTTTGTTTTTTTTCCTGATCTCAAGTTTTTAGGGAAAAAAATTCATACACAAACAACATCAACACGTTCACATACCTCAACATTCTCCATAATCTCATTCCCATTACAAAAAGAATCACATAAGTTAGGTATATGCATAAAATATTCAGTGTTAGCCTCATAGTCTCAGGCTACACTCGTACAGAATTAAATCGTCAGGCTAAAAATCTAATCTTTAGCTAAAATTAGAGCATACATTCTGTTATTCATCATCCTTGCCTATCCGTAAAAAGAATTATGTTTGTTGACCCCAAAATTCGAAACACATGAATAATAATCACTAATCATCGCCAACAAATCGGATAACTCTACAAAGAAGAAGATTTCTTTTTTCTTTTTTTTTTGGGTTTAGGTCACATAGGTTTGAACCCTATACCTCTCTACTCACACCCACCTACCTCACCCCTGCGTACCTTCGTTTTCGAACAAGCAAGAACTCCTGAAAATGAAAGAGAAGATAAATTGATGCACGGTAAAAGATTCTACTTTCCCCTTTCTCCAATGGCAGACAATTAAAAACATAATCCAAATCCTCCCGGAGACATACCAAAGATTTTCCAATGTGTAGAATTTTGTAAGGCAATCACCACTACAATTAGAAAAAGGGGCGAAACTGACAGCCAAGTTGAAAAGCCTTGTCATATGAATTCTCAATCTACGTTAAAAATAAAACAAGGCATAGATGATGCTCAAATCCTCAGTTAGCCTAATCAAAGAAGAGCCAAAAGAGATTAATTGCATTTCAAAAATCCGGCATCAACGAAAGCAAACCAACAATCTGGCTACCCCAGGAAAATAGAATCCCGATGCATACCATCATTTTCATATTCATATCAACACGCACCTTATTTCATTATAAAAAAAGATTATCTCAACAAAAATAATTACAATTACAAAACATCTTTGCACAGCGATTAATTAATCCAAAGGAAAGCAAACACACGTGCTCATACCACAATTTGATTGATGAGATTTTGATTCAAACACACCTGAGAAAAGCGGCAAGGTGCGAATCTCACGTCAGTGAGAAGCATGAGAAGAAGAAGAGGAAGAGTGAGAGTGGTGAGAGGAAGGAGAATTCATCCTATTGTAGATTTGTTCGCCGACGAGGTAAATGCCGAAGGCCACGAGGGCGATTCCAAGTCCAGGGGTGGCATGTCGGAGCTGATTCGAAAGCATCGGGTGCTTCCTCCACTCGTCTCTTCTCCTGAAAAATTCTCCGGTATGTCCCCTCGCCATTGTTCGCTGTTATGGCCTCACTGCTTCTCGTTCTCGCGGTCGTGGTCTTCTCCGGACGGCACTTGCATTTCAGATCATTCCCTCTTTCTGTTTGGTTGAATCGGGCTTTCCGCTGGGCTAGGCCCAAACTTGGCCTCTGCTATTGGGCTGATTAAATTATTGTCCAATGTTAAGCGTTTACGTTTTTTTTTTAATTAAAAAAAGTGCAAAAAATAACAAGATATTTAGCAAGTTTTAAGGTTCCTGATTTGAGGGTTTTTTTGCCCTGGCAAGTTTTAAGGTTTTAGGATGCTCGGCTATGCTTGATAATAGAAATCAAGATATTTAGCAAATCCATTATTTTGTGCATCCTAGATAAGACCTCCACAAGTAACTGCTACATTTACATTTACATAATTCACGGCGTCTTACTTGTAAAGAAAGCTTGTATGTCACTGAATTATGAAATTGTTGGCTGTTTTTGAACCCCATGCACTTCCCCATTCAAATGTTCAACTTTGTATTATTACGTGTTATACTTTCAGCAGCCGAAATTTATACAAGTTTTTTTGTATATTTCATTTCACTACGAGGGTGTTAAAATCAAGGCTACGTCCCCAAGTCCCCCATGGTAATAGACCATGTGGCATGAAACAATTTCAGATGTCATAGATACTACTTTCGATTGTTAATATAATGGTTAATTTGATATTCAATTTAACCTTAAATATAAAACCTTAATTTAGTTTGTTTCTCATATTCATTTATTTTTTTAAAATAATCTTTATAGTAATTATATGTATAAATATTTCATCAAATGATAATTCTAACTAATACATATAATTATGAAGGATAACAAATGTTTTTAATCTATCAGCTCTTATATTAAAAAAAAAAAAGACGTAATAATACTAGTGGAAAGATGTGACCTAGAAAATTTCCCATCCACAAAATTTGCTTTTGTCAAGTCAATATGCACTTTTTTTCTTCTCAGCACGTTGATGTTTTTGTCGATTTCCATTATTGCATGTTACGTTACGTCCCAAAGCATCCACGATGCTGCCTATTTTTGACATATTTCAATTCTTAATTTACTAGAATCATTTTGGTTATATGACTCGGGGAATTTTGATTCTCTAATGGTCAACCTTTTCTTAGACGCCTGATTTTCAATATGAAAAAGCTTATACTACTTCTGATCTAAATATAAGATTCATTTCATAACATAATTTATATTGGATTTTATATTCAAAACCGGAAGTAACACCATTTTCTTTCATATTTGACTTTTGTGTCATCAGGGTCTTTAAATATGAGGCATCTATAATTTTTAATGATATAATGATAAGTATATATTTTTTAAATATAAATATGTGATTGTCTAACATTTAAATAAATCATACATATATCATATTTCAATCCAAAATTTAAAAGAATAGAATATAACTTTTTTCCCGAAGTAACCAAGTAAAAATAAACAAAACAAGGAATAATTTTGAAGAAAGGAAACTCAAGGCTTTTAATGTCCCTCATTATGAATTTCTTAGATAAATTATGAATCAGAAGGAACAAGGGAACAAAGGTACCGAACCACATAACATTTACATTTCCCACTCACATTCTCGAAGAATCGTTCAAATGAAGAAAAAGGCATACGAAAAATTTCTGAAGATTTATCTCAATAACTAATAACTAATGCTTGATGAATCAACTTACTTACCTTTTGACCTCCCTTTTCATTGACTTACCACAGTCACTAAATAATGTAAAATGTCCAACTTTTTGTGTTCTAACCTGCTCACAAAAGAATTTGAAGAGGTTTGTTCAGAACTAAACAAAAACATGTCATATAAATTATTGGATAGACTGCTCACAATCAATAAACTGAATTTGTCATGTACATTCATATATATATATAAAGTAAATATTATGTCAAAAGTGAGTTCACCCATTAGAAAAAGAAAGAAAGAAAAAACCAATTCCTCCCAAAGGACAATAGTTACTATTGGCAAAGTTTCTAAATTAAAAAAAATTAGACAAACATCTTCAAAATTATATCTAAGTTTCTTATAAATTATGTCATGAAGCACCAAAACTTTTTGTACCCCAAAAAAAATATCTAAATTTTGTCCTTGGATTTCAGCTTTCTATCATAAAAGAAAACGTTCTAGGGATGGTGGAAGCCACAAGCTTAGCTCCAGCAAAGAAGCCCTAAAAGAACATCAAGAAGCTACCTTTACCCTTCTTCGCTTGCAGTTATTCCAACATAGAAGTCCCACGCAACCTGCGG